CCTTAGGGAACAGGAAATTCCATGGAACGTCCATTTACCCAATTAGTCAGACTCACTGAGCCCCAGAATAGGGTTTTCAATCAACTCCTGCTAAAATTAAAAAATAATGTGTGGTGGCCGGGCGCGGTGGCTCATGCCTGTAATGCCAGCACTTTGGGAGGCCGAGGAGGGCCGCTCACGAGGTCAGGAGATCGAGACCATCCTGGCTAACACGGTGAAACCCCGTCTGTACTAAAAATACAAAAACAAAAAATTAGCCGGGCGTGGTGGCGGGCGCCTATAGTCCCAGCTACTCGGGAGGCTAAGGCAGGAGAATGGCGTGAACCCGGGAGGCGCAGCTCGCAGTGAGCGGAGATTGCACCACTGCACTCCAGCCTGGGCGGCAGAGTGAGACTCCATCTCACCAAAAAATAATAGTAATAGTAATAACAATAATGTGTGGTATCGATTGGAATAATAGACATTGGAGGCCACAAACGATGGGAGGGTAAGGGGGAGCGGGGGTTCAAAAATTACTTATTGGATGCAACATTCACTATTCGGGTAATGGGGCACTAGAAGCCCGCTCCACCACTGTGCAATATATGCACTTGTACCCCGTAAATCTATAAAAATAAAAAATAGATTAAAAATAATAATAATGTCTGGTCATCTAAATAGTACCTCTACAGCTTATTAAGTCCTCTGCAGATGCCCCAGTTGCCTGTCCTTCCCATTAAAGGTGATACCCAGTGCTGATTTCTCCCTCAACCTCCGGGTTCCCATAAACCTCTTCTTTCTCACTCCTGCTGCCCTCGGTACTCCAATAAAGAATGATAGACCGGCGGCGCGGTGGCTCATGCCTGTAATCTCAGCACTTTGGGAGGCTGAGGCGGGTGGATCACCTGAGGTCAGGAGTTCAAGACCAGCCTGGCCAACATGGTGAAACCCCATCTCTACTAAAATGCAAAAATTAGCGGGACATTATGGCGGGCGCCTGTAATCCCAGCTACTCGGGAGACTGAGGCAGGAGAATTACTTGAACCCGGGAGGCGTAGGTTGCAGTAAACCGAGGTCGTGCCATTGCACCCCAGCTTGGGCAACAAGAGTGAAACTCCATCTCAAAAAAAAAAAAAAAATGGTAGATGAACTAAAGACAGACATTAGAGCACCCCTGACCCTGGCGCCTCAACACATACACACTCCTATGGCCCCAAGCATGCTGATTTAGAATCCCAGTGATCCTAATTTGCCTAGCCAGAATCTTTGCCTGAATTTCATTAGTACACAGGGCAACACAGAGCTGATAATAATGATGAGCTTTTGCTTGTTTGTTTGCTTTTTTGAGACAGAGTCTTGCTCTGTCACCCAGGCTGGAGTGCAGTGGCACGATCCGGGCTCACTGCAACCTCCACCTCCTGGGTTCAAGCAATTCTCCTGCCTCAGCCTCCCAAATAGCTGAGATTACAGGCGGATGCCACCATGCCCAGCTAATTTTTGTACTTTTAGTAGAGACGAGGTTTCACCATGTTGGCCAGTCTGGTCTTGATCTCCTGACCTTGTGATCCACCCGCCTCGGCCTCCCAAAGTGCTGGGATTACAGGCGTGAGCCACCGCGCCCGGTCCATGATGCGCCTTTACAAGAGATAGAGGTAATTGTACCCCCGCCTAACAAACAATAGGGTGTAGATAGTGACCGTGATTAAGGGGCAGAGTAACTTAAAACTGACACACATGAGAAACATCCTTAAATAATATGACGTTGGACCCTCTCCACAAAGTGGTGTCACCCTGGTCTACACTCCTGTTAACCCATGGGCAACTCCTTGTGCCCTTTGCCCCCTTCCTCTGAACCTGACAATGGTGGGGAAACGGGGGATTCTGCCATAATGGCCAAGATTGTGAAATGTCATTGCATGGCCTTTTCTTGTTGTCATTGTTGTTGAGACAGAGTTTCTCTCTTGTCTCCCAGGTTGGAGTGCAATGGTGCAATCTCAGCTCACTGCAACCTCTGCCTCCCAGGTTCAAGTGATTCTCCTGCCTCAGCCTCCTGAGTGTCTGGGATTACTGGCGCATGCCACCATGCCCAGCTAATTTTTGTATTTGTAGTAGAGACAGAGTTTCACCATGTTGGCGAGGCTGGTCTCAAACTCCTGACCTCAGGTGATCCACCCACCTTGGCCTCCCAAAGTGCTGGGATCACAGGCGTGAACCACTGCGCCCGGCCGCATGGCCTTTTCGCCATGCTTGCCTTTGTTGATGCTCATTTGGTTCCTGAACTGGGTACTCACAGAGAGCTCTTAGGGGGAAATTAAGACACTCCCATCCAAACCCCAAGTCCACTGGTTCATCTTTTGCCCTCACTGACATCAGGTCTTGGCCAGGCACAGTGGCTCCCACCTATAATCCCAGCACTTTGGGAGGCCGAGGCAGGAGGATCACTTGAACCCAGGAGTTTCAGACCAGCCTGGGTAACATAGTGGGAACCTGTCTCTACAAAAAAAATATTTTAAAATTTGTTTTAAAATTATTTTAAAAAGTTAGCTGGGTATGGTGGCACATGCCTGTAGTCCCAGCTACTTTGGATGCTGAGGTGGGAGGATCACTTGAGCCCAGGAAGTCAAGGCTGCAGTAAGCTATTATTGCACCACCACACTTCAGCCTGGGCAAAAGAGCAAGACTCTGTCACAAAGAAAAGACAGACAGAGACATCAGGACTGGCCCCTTCCAGAACCAATTCTACCAGATAGATGAGCTCCTCTCACACACACTAGATCACCTGACAAGCTTGAGTGCAATGCCTGAGATTCCCCATACAAGAGCTCCTTAGGGCGAGGCACAGTGGCTCATGCCTGTAATCCCAGTACTCTGGGAGGCCAAGGCAGGAGGATCACTTGAGCCCAGGAGTTCAAAACCAGCTTGGGCAACATGGTGAAACCCTGTCTCTACAAAAAATACAAAAATTAGGTAGGCGTGGTGGCATGTGCCTGTAGCTCCAGCTACTCCAGCTGAGGTGGGAGGATCACTTGAGCCTGGGAGTTCAATGCTACACTGAGCCGTGATCACACCACTGCATTCCAGCCTGGGTGACAGAGTGAGACCCTGTCTAAAAAATAGAGCTCCTTAAAACAGTAACCTCACGGACTAATGAGAAAGCCATTAATGCACTGCATTGTGCCCGGGTCTGTGACTCTCTATCTAACAAGGTTCTGTGCCTCAATGTCCTTAAAAAGACTGATTCCCGCCGGGCGCGGTGGCTCAAGCCTGTAATCCCAGCACTTTGGGAGGCCGAGACGGGCGGATCACGAGGTCAGGAGATCGAGACCATCCTGGCTAACACGGTGAAACCCCGTCTCTACTAAAAAATACAAAAAAACTAGCCGGGCGAGGTGGCGGGCGTCTATAGTCTCAGCTACTCGGGAGGCTGAGGCAGGAGAATGGCGTGAACCCGGGAGGCGGAGCTTGCAGTGAGCTGAGATCTGGCCACTGCACTCCAGCCTGGGTGACAGAGCGAGACTCCGTCTCCCAAAAAAAAAAAAAAAAAAATACTGATTCCCATTATTTTCTCTGCCCCTGGGTCCAATCAGATCCAAATAACTGGGATTTGGGATGTGTCCACCTTCACACCTAAGATGGTGTCGCCTCTGCATAGGATTTCACCTGAGATGACACAACCCCTCCAGAAGAGTCCACATGAGACGGCATTGCCTGGAACCCTCACCATTATCTGGAATCCTAACTTGGACTTTAGCTCAAAGAGACCCTGCCTCACAAGCTCCCTGTGCACGCCCCCTTCCCTCACAGGATCTTCTGCCTGTTGGACTTGCCCTCCCGATGACCCTCAGGGACAACTGCAGCCATTAGAGCATACAGGGGCTTTCCCCAACCAATCTAGGTTTGTCCGACATTGCTTGCAATGGAGAATGGCACTCACCACATGCCAGCACAAAGACATTCAATTAAAACAAGTAGTGTCCAGGCACAACTGTCTTACAACCCTGCTGCCTAATATAGTGACACAGGTGGGTTGGATCATTATAAATTTAAGCTTTAGTTTCTGCACTTAGCTTTTGACTGTCTGCTTGCCTGCCCACCCAAGGTGCCTCCTTTCTTTTTAGCACCTGTTCTGTGCAGCAGAAAAGCAGAATTCCAACAGGATGCAGCACCACCCAGACAAAGACAGTAAGAGAAAACAAGCAGACCAATCTGGGATAATGACTCCCTGCTAAAGAGCTTTACACAAACCCACAAGACCAGAGGGCTTTTAAATGTTTGGGGGCAGGCTGGGCGCGGTGGCTCACGCCTGTAATCCCTGCACTTTGGGAGGCCAAGGTGGGCGGATTACTTGAGGTCAGGAGTTCAAGACCAGCCTGGCCAACATGGTGAAACCCTGTCTCTACCAAAAATACATTTAAAAAAACAAAAATTCAGCCAGGTGTAGTGGCGAGCACCTGTAGTCTCAGCTACTCGGGAGGCTGAGCCACGAGAATCGCTTGAACCCAAGAGGCGAAGGTTGAAGTCAGTCAAGATCGCGCCACTGCACTCCAGCCTGGGCAACAGAGCAAGACTCCACCAAAAAAAAAAAAAAAAACAGAAAAAAGAGAAAAGATGTGTTGATGAGGATATGGGGGAGGATATGGAGAAACTGGAACCCTCATGCATTGCTTGTGGGAATGTAAAACAGTGTAACCACTGTGGAAAACGGCTTGTTGGTTCCTCAAAGATTTAAACAGAATTATATGATCCAGCAGTTTTGCTCCTAGATATATGTCCAAAAGAATTGAAAGCAGGGACTCAAACAGATATTGTACACCAGTGTTCATAGCAGCATTATTCACAGTAGCCAAAAGGTGGAAATAACCCAAATGTACATCAACAGATAAATGGGTAAACAGAATGTGGTATATTTATGCAATGGAATATTATTCAGCCATAAAAAAGAATGAAATTCTGATAACATGCTACAACATAGATGAGCCTTTAAAACATCATTTCAAGTGAAATAAGCCACACACAAAAAGGGAAATTTGTATAATTTTACTTATATGAGGTACTTAGTATTGGCAAATTCACAGAGACAGAAAGCAGAATAGAAATTACTGGCCGGGCTTCCACGCACTATGACGGCCAGCACAGAGCTGCGGGAGCCGTGCCCGGAGTCAGAGTCATGGTGACCAGCTGCAAGCATCCGTGTTGCGTCCTCCTCGGGAAGAGGAAAGGCTCGGTTGGAGTCGGCAGTTTCCAACTCCCTGGAGGTCATCTGGAATTCTGTGAGACCTGAGAAGAATGTGCTCAAAGGGAAACCTGGGAAAAAGCAGCTCTTCACCTGAAAAATGTTCGCTTTGCCTCAGTTGTGAATTCTTTCATTGAGAAGGAGAATTACCATTCTGTTACTATATTAATGAAAGGAGAAGTGGATGTGACTCATGATTCAGAACGAAAGAATATAGACTCTGAAAAAAATGAAAGTTGGGAGTGGGTTCCTTGGGAAGAATTTCCTCCTCTGGACCAGTTTTTCTGGGGACTATGTTGTTTAAAAGAACAAGGCTTTGATCCATTTGTAGAAGAGTTGAACCATCTGGTGGGATACAAAGGAAATCATCTCTAGGTGGCTGAGAAGATTTCTCGATTTTCTTTAAAAAGACAAAAATAAGGTCTGGTTAAGGAATGAAAAATATCTACATTTCAGAACAACTCCATTTTATCTTAAAAAAGTTCCTGTGATTGCCAATTTATTTGCAGTCTCTTAATGTACCCACCACCCTTTCAGCTAGTACTTGAGAAAATTTTTCTGAAATATGTTATTGAATTGTATTCCAGACACAGAATATATGATAAATACTGATATTATGGGTAATTTGCTTTCCATATTTACCTATGATATGTACTGTACAGTTTGTCATTACTAGCTTGCATGGAGTAGGATGCAGTCGAATTTGCCTTAGTATTTCTGTTCAAATACAGACCCAAATTCAAATATTGTAGTTTAGATTCAAACACAGTATGCCTGTTGCAAAATTTACCAAGTTTGTTGATTACCTCTTTTATTAAACAAATGGTGGGGAGGGTAATATATTGTGACAATCTTTGCAACTTACAGGGAATAGGACAGGTCATTAGGGTATATTTCCCAGGTTTTCAATTGAGAACCTAAACCAAGAGAAGTGAGACAAACCATCTAATGTCTGTATCCTACTATTAACAGGCTGTGTGATGTTGAATTTCTCACTTACTCTCTCTGAGGTCCATAGTCCTTATATGTAAAATGAAGAGATTCGTCTAGAGCAGTTCTCAAAGTGTGGTCTGGGGCCCTCAAGAGCTTTTCAAGGGTATTCTAGGTCAAAGCTATTTTTATAACACTAAGACATCATTTCATCTTTTATTGTTTTTCTTTTTTTTTTATTTGAGAAGGAGTCTTGCTCTGTTGCCCAGACTAGAGTGCAGTGGCACAATCTCAGCTCACTGCAGCCTCCGCCTCACAGGTTCAAGCAATTCTCCTACCTCAGCTTCCTGAGTAGCTGGGATTACAGGCACCCGCCACCACACCTGGCTAATTTTTGTATTTTTAGTGGAGACGGGGTTTCACCATGTTGGCCAGGCTGGTCTGAAACTCCTGAGCTCAAGTGATCTGCCCACCTCAGCCTCAAAAAGTACTGGGATTACAGGTGTGAGCCACCATGCCCGACCATCGTTTATCTTTTTCACTCTCATTTTTTCATGAGTGTGCAGAGGAGTTTTCAAGAGGCTATCTGGTGTGATATTGTAATAGGCTGAATGCAAAAGCAGATGAGAATCCAGCTTTCGTCTGTTGTCTGACATTGAAGAGATTTGGAGAAATGTAAAGCAGCAGTACTCTTCTCACTGATGATTTTTGTTGTTGTTGGTTAGAAAAATGGTTATTTTTAGTGGGTTTTAATATGTGAAAAAAATTAAAATAGCTATTTGTCAAAAATGTTATTTATGTGTTAATACATATTGGGTTTTTATTACTTGTAAATGATTAATAAAAATTTTAAGAAATTTAAAAAAAGAAGAAGAAAGTACTGGCCAGGCATGATAGCTCACACCTGTATTCCCAGCATTTTGGGAGGCCAAGACAGGTGGGTCGCTTGAGTCCTGGAGTTCGAGACCAGCCTGGGGAACATGGCGAAATGCCATCTCTACTAAAACTACAAAAAAAATAGCAGGGCATGACGGCACCTGCCTGTAGTCCCAGCTACTCATGAGACTGAGGTGGGAGGATCACCTGAGCCTGGGAAGTTGAGGCTGCAGTGAGCTGTGATGATGACACCGCACTCTAGCCTGGATGACCGGAATGAGGCCCTGTCTCAAAATAAACGAAAAAATAAGTTACCAAGGGGCTGGGAGCAGGAGGAAATGGGAAGTTATTATTTAATGAGTGCAAAATCTCTGTTTAGGATGATGAAAACTTTCTGGAAATAGATAGTGGTAGTGGTTACGCTACACTGTGTATGTACTTAATGTGACTGAATTGTACACTTATCATGGTTAAAATGATAAATTTTGGGCCGGGCGCGGTGGCTAACACCTGTAATCCCAGCACTTTGGGAGGCCAAGACAGGTGGATCACCTGAGATCAGGAGTTGGAGACCAACCTAGCCAACATGGTGAAACCCCGTCTCTACTAAAATACAAAAATTAGCTGGGAGTGGTGATAGGCGCCTGTAATCCCAGCTAATAGGGGGGCTGAGGCAGGAGAATCACTTGAACCCAGGGAGCGGAAGTTGCAGTGAGCAGAGATTATGCCACTGCACTCCAACCTGGGCGACAGAGCAAGACTTCATCTCAAAAAAGAAAAAAAGAAACAGTCCCAGGATGCATCCATGTGCATGTGCATGCAGGTGTATCTGCTTGTGAGAGCTGCACACACGGCTCTGAGTACCTGGGAAGATACCCATGTGCAGTTGCTGTACATGTGTGGGGTCACTCTCTGGCGCATTTGGAGGCATGAGGGCTACATGCAATGTGAGGGAATCTATGTCCAGGCGTCCTTTCTTGTTTTTCCTCCTCTGAACTTATGCATCCCTCCACAAAAAGTCCAGCTCCTGGCTAAAAACCTATGTGTGATTTTTCAGCTCAACCACAGGCAATGACAGGTTTTACCTGGCAGGCCTCACAGCTGGGTTGTGCACAGCGGATGCATTGCAGTCTTTAAAGACAGTTGCAGGCACAGACTCAAGCCTCCTGGACAGTCGACCTCTCACACACATCTCCGCTCCTACCCCAGGTCTTCATTCAGACACGTCTTCATTGCAGTGGGGTAGGCCTTTGGCCACGACCTCCTTATCATGGGGAGTGGGGAATCCTTGAAGACACTTTCCTCCATGCTGACTCAGAACTTTTCCCACTCTCCCTTCCCCACCCCATCCCTGGCCCCCAGGTCTGTACAACTGCAGGAGCCTTTTGTTGGAAGCTCTTCTGCAGTGAGACCAACCCCACACCTGTGCTCATCCACCTGACCCCAGATGGCATCATTCTATGAGGAAATGAGAACAGGGTGGATCTGTGTTCTACAAAATAAAACCAACCAGGTTCTCTGGTTTAGCCTCTTCCTTGTAGTGTAATAATAAGAGATTTGGGGCTTGGCTATTGCTTTCATTTTGACTTTTTTTGTTGTGAGACAGGGTTTCACTCTGTCACCCAGGCTGGAGTGCAGTGGTGTGATCTCGGCTCACTGCAACCTCTGCCTCCTGGGCTCAAGCAATCCTCCTACCTCAGTCTCCCTAGCAGCTAGGACTACAGGCGCATGCCATCATACCCAGCGAATTTTTATATTTTTTATAGAGACAGTGTTTCACCATGTTGCCCAGGCTGGTCTCAAATTCCTGAGATCAAGCAATCCACTGGCCTCAGCCTCCCAAAGTGCAAGGATTACAGGCATGAGCCACCATGCCAGGCCATCATTAATCAGCTGCTCCAGCACTTGGCAGTTCAGCTCTCTCCTGCTCAGCTGAGCTCCTGATTATACAGAGGTTAAGAGCAAACTGCCTCTGCCACTTAGTAACCTGGTGACTTTGGAAAAATCACTTTGCCTTTTCATCCTTTGGTTTCTTCATCTGTAAAATGAAAATAACAATACCTATTTCATAGGGTTGTTGCTGTGAGGATGTAGTGAGTCGATACATGTAAAGCATAAAGTAGGTTCTATTGAAGTGTTTGCTATTGTATTCAACATGGTCCATTTCTGCTTGGAGATCCATATGACTCTGGGGAGTATCTGTTGGCTCAGCCTAGGTCATGTGTTCCACCTTAACCATCCCTTCCCTGCTCCAAGGTAGAGCCGGTGACCTGAACTAAACCAGCAGACATGCTCCACCTCCAAGACCGGCTCAAGATGGGCATGTAATATAAGCTGGTTCAATTAGAGTGAATCTTTTTTTCTTTTTTTTTTGAGATGGAGTCTCATCCCGTCACCCAGACTAGAGTGCAGTGGCACAATCTCAGCTCACTGCAACCTCTGCCTCCCAGGTACAAGCGCCTCCTGAGTAGCTGGGATTACAGGTGCCTGCTGCCATGCTCAGCTAATTTTTGTATTTTTAGTAGAGACAGGGTGTTGCCATGTTGGCCAGGATGGTCTCAAACTCCTGACCTCAAGTGATCCACCTGCCTTGGCCTCCCAAAGTGCTAGGATTACAGGCGTGAGCCACTGTGCCCAGCCCAATTATAGTGAATCTTAATACACTGGCTAAAAATTCTGGGACACATTCAGTCTCTCTCTTTCCAACAGGACATGTACAAGGACCTGCACAACCCTGGGAGATGCTGGCATATTGGGGCCACAAGCGGTGCTGACCTTAAGGAAAGGGCAACACCTCAGAAAACAAAGTAGATAAATAGAAACCAAGTCCTTAGTGCCATCACCTGATTTCTGGATAAAGCCTCATCTAAGCTATTTATTGATCTGAGCCCTTCATAGTTTAGGCCAATGTGATTTGGTTGTTTTGTTACCTGTAACCAAAAGTCTCTTAACACAAAGTGGATCTGTGAGTGACCAGAGTCTCTTGGGGGTTGTAGCAATCTAGATCCCCAGAGAGGCCAACTCTGAGATGGAGTGTAGGGTGTACAACGTTGATCAATGAGTGCTCTTGGAACCAACAACTGAGGAAGACAGAAGTATGCAGGATTGGGCACAGGGAGAAGTCCAGCTGCAATGCAGGCCCAAGGGTAATTGCAGCTGAGCCTTCAGGAAGTTCTGGAGCCAGAGTAGCCCTTCTGAGTTGTTCTAAGCACTGAAGGCCTAGCAAGTTCCCAGGGGTATTAAACTCAATAAGCCTGTCAGCCTCCACAATGCCCGCAACAGGTCTGGGCACAGATTGGAGAGAAGCTGGGCTCCCAACTGCACCAGGAGGGAGTGGCCCAGAGCCACAGAGCCACGGAGACTCAGGCAGGGGGTTGCTCCAGCACTTCTTCTTGAGAAGTTTTGAGCCCCAGATGCAGTTAGCACATCTGCCCGCCCCTTATCTTAAGACGAAGTTCGTTGCCACCATATCTTCTGCAAGGCCCAGCTGGGGACCCCAAGATACTGGCAAAAAAGCAAATGTAAATCCAGCTTTATCGGTAAAAAAGGAACAGCAGATTTAACTGGAAATTCCCACCTGGCCCAACAGCACCAACCAGAAAGAAGGGAAGAAGAGAGGAAAAAACTGCAGGAAGGAGAGAAAGGAGGGAGGGAGGGAGGGAGAGGAGGAAGGAAGGAGGGAGGGAGGGAGAAAGGGAGGGAGGGAGGGAAAGAAAGAGGGAGGAAGGGCACAGGGAGCAGGGAGACTGTAGATCAGGGTCTGAATGGAGACTCGGTCTTGGAAGTAAATGATCCAAGGCTCCAGGTGCTGGGGAGAGAGCAGGAGGGGAGGGCAGCCCATGGCACTGCCATCTAGAAGGGTAGCGGCTCTTCCACAGGAATGTTGAGGACGACATCCATGTCTGGGGTGCACCTGGTGGGAGGCAGCACAGAGGGCCATGAGAGACCAGAGGTGGGGGTATGGGAGTACCCGCTCAGGGGAGCCCTGCTCTTTAGAACTCTGGTACTTACTTGGGTTGGGGGGCAATCCCAAAATATAATCTGTGACCTATCTGTGACCTCAAAGCCCAAATGTGCATACACAAGCATGAACACACACACACATCAAAAATGGAAAATAAATGAGTTTGGCAGGACGAATGTTCCCCTGACAAGTCTGAGGTCAAGAGGCAGCAGGAACTCAGCTCTGAAATGCTGGGGGCCCTCAAGATAATCACTGGCTTTGGAGTGAGGATGACAGGTTTGATAATTTGACTCCGTGTCACCTTGAGCAAGCTATTTCTACTCTCCCAGCCTCACTCCTTCAGTTGGTACTTAAGTGAAAAGCACTCTTGAAGTGCCAGACCCCAGGTGAGCCTCAGTTTCGTCATCCGTCAAATGGGTTTAATATCCTAACCTCAGTTGGCCGAGCACAGTGGCTCACACCTGTAATCTCAGCACTTTGGGAGGCCGAGGTGGGCGGATCACAAGGTCAGGAGATCGAGACCATCCTGGCTAACACAGTGAAACTCCGTCTCTACTAAAAATACAAAAAAATTAGCTGGGCGTGGTAGCAGGCGCCTGTAGTCCCAGCTACTCGGGAGGCTGAGGTAGGAGAATGGCATGAACCCAGGAGGTGGATGGAGCTTGCAGTGAGCCGAGATCACGCCACTGCACTCCAGCCTGGGTGACAAAGCAAGACTCCATCTCAAAAAAAAAAAAAAAATCCTAACCTTGGTGGAAAGGTTATTCCACCTTCCACCAAGTTATTGGTGGAAAGATTAAATGAGACCATGCCAGCATATAATAAGTGTTCAGTGAATGACAGGCATTATTATTTCCATGAAAGTAGCAAGAGAGATGGATTCCCATCAGCAATATATTCCCCATCGCAGGGACCAGCACAAATATTTAAGAGGTTGAAGGATTACACTCTCTTTTATTCTTTCTCTCTTCCAAGGAGACCATCCTCTCTCATAGCTTCAATAATCTACTGGTACACATGAAGTATTTAGGCAGGAAATGTCAGGATACTTGCAATTTACAATACCATTCACCAAAAAAAAAAAAAAAAAAAAAAAAAAAAAAAAAAAGAATGAACATGAAACCAATATGGGAAAAAAAAAAACAATTTTTAAATCTAGATGGGCAAAACTGGCTATTCATTATATCATTCTCTCTACTTTTCTTTATATTTGAAATTTTTCATAATAATAGTTTTATAAAAAAGTGCATCTCTATGCTGGCAACACCTAAATTTCTACTTCCAGCCAATATCTGTCCTCTGAGGTCTACACTTACCTTGTCAATTGCCCACCCAAGGACTCCACCTTGATACCTCATGTAAACCAAACTTACTGTCCAAGTCAACTGTATGGTTTTTTGTTTTGTTTTGAGACATGGTCTCACTCAGTCACCGAAGCTGGAATGCAGTAGTGCGATCACAGCTCACTGTAGCCTGGAACTCCTCAATCAATCCTCCTGCTTCCCAAATAGCTGGGACCACAGGCATGTGCCACCACATCTGGCTAATTTATTTTTTGTAGAGGTAGAGGTCTCACTATGTTGTCCCCTGGTCTCGAACTCCCAGCCTCAAGCGATCCTTCTTCCTCAGCCTCCTAAAGCACTGGGACTACAGGTGTGAGCCACCATGCCTGCCTCCAAGTAAACTTTTGACTGTGCCTACATACACATCCCTCACCCCATCCCAGCCTTCCCAATCTCTGCATTTGACACCACTACCACTCCATTACAAAAGTCAGGAGCCCAGGGATTATTCTTGTTATCTCCCTTTCCTGTACGTCCCAAGTCATACAAGTCCTTCTTACCTTCCTAAATATTTCTCCAATCCATCTATTTCTCCCACCTCTTCTGCCACACACTTGGCCAGGCCACTCCCCATGTTCCCCTGGACAACTGCCCTCACACCCAGTAGAATTCCAGCTGCCACTCTGGCTCCTTGCCAATCTCATCCCCATGCTCTTTTATTTTCTTTTAAGAAAGAGTCTTGCTCTATTACGCAGGCCGGAGTGCAGTAGCACCATCTTGGCTCACTGCAACCTCTGCCTCTAGGACTCAAGCAATCCTCCTGCCTCAGCCTTCCGTGTAGCTGGGATTACAGGCACACACCACCATGCCTGGCTAATTTTTGTATTTTTTGTAGAGATGGGGTTTCACCATGTTGCCCAAGCTGGTCTCGAACTCCTGGACTTAAGCAATCCTCCCACCTTGGCCTCCCAAAATGCTGAGATTACAGGCATGAGCCACCACACCTAGCCCACCATGCTCTTTTCAAACTGACTTTTTCGGAATACAAATCTGATCATGTCACCACGTGGCTTAAGATCCTTTGCTTCTGGGATCAGGCAGAAAATCTGGCCCTACAGGGCACTGCACAGAGGTCCCTGGGGCTGAGTTGCCCTGCTCCCTTCCCGCCACTCTCCCTGTCACTCTTCGTTCCAACCACACTGGCCTCACCAGCTCCGTGTCAATGCCAAGTTCCTTCCAACCACAGCTCCTTCACAGCTCAAGGCTCAACATGTAGTTGGTTCATAGAGCAGTAGCATAAGCATCACCCGGGAGCTTCTTAGAAATGCAGAATCAGGCTGGGCATGGTGGCTCACACCTGTAATCCCAGCACTTTGGGAGGCCAAGGCAGGTGGATCATTTGAGGTCAGGAGTTCGAGACCAGCCTGGCAAACATGGTAAAACCCCATCTCTACTAAAGATAAAAAAATTAACCAGGCATGGTGGTGCACACCTGTAATCCCAGCTACTCAGGAGGCTGAGACAAGAGAATCAGTTGAACCCAGGAGGTGGAGGTTGCAGTGAGCTGAGATGGCGCCACTGCACTTCAGCCTGGGAGACAGAGTGAGACTCTGTCTCAAAAAAAAAAAAAAAAAAAAAGAAAGAAAGAAAGAAATGCAGAATCGTGAGCCCAACTGAGACCTACTGACTTGGAATCTGCTTTTTAACATGATCTCCAGGTGTTTCCTGGGCATGTTCCAGTTAGAGACGCTCTGGTTAACAGCGTGCCATTTCCACTTTTTAGGAGTGAAAATCTGCTTCTTTACTCCTAGTGTTCCCTTCCGTGTGGAAGGGCATCCATGAGTGTATTGCTCCTGGCCTCTCTCTGCCCCTTCATATTCTGCTTTTGGAAAGGGGGTATGACCACCAGAATGGTGAGTGTGAGGAGAGGAAGGGGACCCAGGGAGCCCAGTCCCTTCCTCTCTCAGCAGCGAGCAACCCAAAAGGACTCCACTCTTCTCTGCCCCAAGGCCTGGCTCCACGTGGGTCCGGCTCCACCACGACTGGGTGGTTCAATTTGCCTAATTCTGGGTTCACTATTCAGAGACCAACATGCCTAGAAATATAAGCCACAGTCTCTAAAATCAGCTTCACCCGAACAAAGGTGATAACCTGGCCTGCATGCACCTTACCTGTTTCAATCTCATTCACTGTGTTAATTTTTGTATTTTTAGTAGAGACGGTGTTTCACCAACTTGGCCAGGCTGGTCTTGAACTCCTGACCTCATGATCCACCCACCTCGGCCTCCCAAAGTGCTGAGATTACAGGCGTGAGCCACCGCACCCGGCCCCTAAGAGTCACTTTCACAGTGGCATGTACTCTACTCTGCAGCTCCAGGCTCTGCTGCAACTCCACAGTTACTTGTGGCTCATTATCGACTCACGTCCAGTTCCCTCTTTGGCTCCATGAGGGCAGGGCCGAGAACTGTTTTCATTCACACAGTGCCTGGCACTCAGAGGCACTTCATAAATCCAATAGCATTTTGTTTTGGGTTTTTTTTTTTTTTTAGAAAAAGAAGAAAAGGAAGAGATGGCAATAGGAGAGTAGAAGGAAGGAAAAGGATAGGAGGGAGAGACAGATACAGACGAAGAAGAAAAATTAAAGAATTTGCAAATGCTAGGCTCTGCCATACATGGTCCTGTGGTGTCATCATGGAGAGGTAAGCCTGGGGGACCCCCAACCCAATCGCAGAGGGCTTGCCCCAAGGGAGGGTAGGCAAAGAATTGGTTTCTAGGGCCCAAAAACCTGCCAAGTGAAGAGGACATCCTTCTCTCCTTGTGGAGTGTCTTCCAGGCTATTCTTCCCTGAAGCCAACCACCCCACTCAACTCTGCCTTCCTCAAGAACCCAGAAGTGAAGGGCTGCACCCACTTGGTTGATACATGGAATCTGGGAACTAGAAGAGCCCTTAGAGATTACACAACCCAGCCTGCTGTGTACAGATGGGAATCGGAGGCCTCTGCAGAGATGGGAAAGGTCACATCTGCCCCGGTCAGTGGCAGGTCCAAGGCGGAAACCTAGGCCCCTCCCTCCCTGTACAGGGTTCTGCCATCCACACCAGACTGCCTTCCCCAAGAACAGAGAGCCTCTGTGAGCTCAGAGTGTGGCTGGTTTAAGAGGCAGCGGCAAAAACATCACATACTTGGGTTTCCGAAGCAGAACATCCTCAAACACGACCTCTCGGGGTTCCCGGGTCTGGGCTTGGAGCTCTTCCACCTCGGCCCTTAATACGGGCATGTTCTCCTCAAACTGGTCAATAAACTGAGAGGAAAGGCATAGCAGGGGAGAAGGGAGAAGCCAAACGCCCCCCAACCAAAGGGAGAAAGGTCAAAATGAACAAGGAGCAAAGCTATCTGGGGAAATGGTATGGGCTCTGTTACTGGGACTTGCTGAACTCCAGAGAGGGGACCTCCCCATGCAGGGTGGGGCTGGCTTCCAAGTGAGTGACAATATTCAGTGGTGCTGAAACAGGTGAGGGATCATGGAGAATGGAGACAGGTTACAAACTGGCAGAGAATGCTCAATCATGGGAATAAATGGAGGCTGGCAGAGATAGCGAAGGGCATGCACATTAAAAACCGATGAAGAGGCAAGATAATGAAAATTAATTCAAGAAGGCAGTGATGGTGAAGTTCATTAACACCGATAATGGGTGGTGGGCAGTGACAAGAAGCAAGGGGTAAAGATGCAAGGTGGCTAATGGCTGAATAGGTGATGCTTGATGATGTTGCAAATGATTCATAGCCAGCGATGCAGGCTAACAAGGCAAGGCCTAGGTCGGTGCCAATCACCTTCCCAGATGAAAGACAAGTGACAGTAATGGCACCGGCAAGGAGGCAGGCCAACACCAAAGTTAGAGACCTCCTGAGTGCCAGATCAGGAGAAGCCTGACCCATTCCCACAGGCTGTGGGGACTGCCCACCCACTGCTCCCCTACAGGGACCACCACCTTCCTCGCCCACGCACTTCTCTGAACCTTTGCATGCATTTCAGGAAGTCTTGGCTTTCCCATATCTTCTGTAGGAGAGCCTTCTCATAGGGACGCTGGGTTTTCTGTGGAGGAAGAAGAGGTCTGGCCCCCAGGTGCCTCTTCCTGGGCAGCAAAACATGGTAGAGACCAATAGGGCTGCAGTGGGCCTGGAGGCAGAGGATGGGGAAGAAGGGGGGGTGGGAGTGGGACCTGGATTCCCCGCCTCCCACACAGCAACTGGCTACTCACTGCCACCACAGAACTCAGAATTTTTTTCTTCTTCTTCTGAATCTTGTCAGACAAGGATTCCAGGACCTTTCTGCGCATCTCACTGAGGTCATCCAGCTCATCCTGGGATCCAGCAGAAGGGTGTTGGCCACCAGCCCGGACTCCCACACAGTCTGGTGGGGGAGGGGCAGGGGGTCCCCTACCTGCTGACTGTCCTTATCCTGCTGCAGCTGGCGCACAAGGGTGGAGATCTGGACAGACTTGATGGAATACTCATGGTCCATGTAAGTGCTCAGGAAGTTCACTTCCTCCTGGGTCTTCTCAATCTTGGCATTCAGCTGCTCCGCCTGCTGCTCTAGAGCTGGGGAGGGGTTAGGGAGGTCGGCAGGGAGAGGAGGCAAGACCTTCCCTCAAGCACCTGGGCCCCAGGAGGCCCAGGTGGCAAGGTCTCCTTGGCCAATAACTGGGGTCTGGGCTGAGGCGAGCTCACACAGGGCAGGGAGGTGGTTAAAAGATAAGGCTCTAGAGGGTTTTCCACCCCTGCAGGAGAAGAGGCAATGCTGGGTAGGCAAAAGGAAGGGAATTGGTGCACGATCCCTAGACTAGTCCCCACTCTGCCACTGACTTGCAGTGTGGCCCTCGCCAAGACTGTCCCTCTCCAGACTTCAGTCTCCTCAGAGACACACTCAAGGAAGTGAGACCAGGCAGATGGGGTGACAGTGGCTCCCAAGACACAACCCATGGCAGGATTAAGACAAAGTCTATCCTGGCTTCCTCCAGAGAGAGATCCCCAATGTCTGGGGTTGCCTGATCCACTGCCCCTCTGCTCAGCAGCTGTGTAGTCTGCTCAGGGAAAAGGAACCACAGGCCAGGCAGGATGGAAGCCAGGAGACCTAGGTTCTAGCCCAGCCACTGACTCCCAGAAGGACCTTGGCAGGAAACGGAGCCAGGCTAGAGTTGGATTCTGGCTCCTAGCTATAAAACCTTCCACAAGCTACTTCACCTCTCTTAGTCTCAGTTTCCTCCCCTGTAAAAAGGACAGCTTCCCTGCCTCCAGGTAGTTGCAATAACTGGGTGTGTGCCTGTAACAATGCAGACATTGGTAGAGACCCAGACATGGGGCCTGGAAAGACCTAAGTGCTGGGTAAGTAGGCTATTCGCTCTGTATCTTAGCCTTCCCATCTGCCTAGAAGAGAGACGATGGGGCTGAGGGTTTCTGAATGGCAAGTACAAGATGAATGCTGTGCTGCTAACTTCCCCAAGGTGCCACGGGGAGGGTCACGGAATTCGCCCAGGGATTCTTACAGCTCATCTTGCATTTCTTCTTTTCTTCCCACTCCTGAAGCTCAGACTTCAATTGCTGCAGCCTCTTCTTGTTTGAATACTCCAAGATGTCGATGATGGTCTGTGGGAGGGGTGGGGTCAACTCACCCACAGGCTCTGCTGGCTCTCAGAAGCGGCCACCCAGCACTTCCTCAGAGGAGTCCCGAATCCCAACCTCACTCCCAGAAACCTGACCAGAGGCTAATCGGGACAATAACAGAGTCCACCCTTAGGATTGTTGTAAGGACTATATAAATGCATACAGATCGCTTGCTATTACACGTAGAGGTGTTTGCAAATGCTGGTGGTGGTAGCAGCTACCTCTTGCACGGGTACAATATGCGCCAGGTAAACCCCCTCTGGGACGGGTGCTATTGTGCCGCATTTCACAGAGCTCAGGGAGGCAAAGTTAACTCAAAGTCTCCTGGCCAGTGAGTGCTGGCGCGTTGGGATGAAACTCCCATCTCGGTCCTCTTGCAAAGCCCAGGTGAGGGGAGTGAAGTTGAAGAAATGCGTCTTCCAGTTGGAGGAAGCAGCATGTGCAATGGGCAGGGAAGGGCAGGAGAGGGCGCACGAGCACGTGGAGGGAGGGAAGGAGGGCGGGCGGATGCCGAGGGCACTGCCGGCACCGAGGGCAGAGGCGCGGGTCTCACCGCTAGGATGTCCTGCTGCTGCAGCAGGGCCCGCACGTTCAGGGTCGTGCTGTTCTCCATGTCCTGGATGGTCTCGATCAGCTCCTCGTTGAGCTTGGTGAGGAAGTTCTCATGGCTTTGGAGCTCTCGCAGAGCGGTCCTCCCGTTCCTGAGCATCATCTGCGGGCGGAGGGAAGAGTAGAGAGGCGGCGCTGCGCCCCGCCCGGCCGGAGTCCCCAAAAGCCCGTGGACCGCCGCCCCAACCCCGCCAGACTCCCGCCCCCTTGCGGCCTTCTGCTGGTAAATGCGGCCCAAGCTGGGCGGCGGTTCCCCATTGTCTGCGCCGCCCGGGAGCTCCGGGACTCTCCTCCCTTCGGAAACGCACGTGTACCCATCATTTCACATCCCTGAGGTGCGGGTGCATCTTACAGTTGGTGGCGTGTCACCATATAATCAACAAATACATTATTAGTGGGTAAATAAAGATGTGCCTTAATATCAATGGCTTCTCAGAATCAATGAAATATATAAATAATAATAAGGGCCGGGCAGGGTGGCTCACATCTGTAATTCCAGCACTTTGGGAGGCCAAGGTGGGCCGATCACGAGGTCAGGAGTTCGAGACCAGCCTGACCAACATGGTGAAACTCCGTCTCTACTAACAATACAAAACTTAGCGGAGCGTGGAGGCGCATGCCTGTAATCCCAGCTAATGGGGGTGCTGAGGCAGGAGAATCGCTTGAACCTGGAAGGCGGGGGTTGCAGTGAGCCGAGATCGTGCCACTGCACTCCAGCCTGGGTGACAGAGGAAGATTCCATCCCAACAATAGTAACAAACGCCCCAGGTAGGTAAGAAGGTGGCAGAGGCCGGGCGCGGTGGCTCAAGCCTGTAATCCCAGCACTTTGGGAGGCCGAGGCGGGTGGATCACGAGGTCAGGAGATCGAGACCATCCTGGCTAACATGGTGAAACCCCGTCTCTACTAAAAATACAAAAAACTAGCCGGGCGTGGTGGCGGGCGCCTGTAGTCCCAGCTACTCGGAGGCTGAGGCAGGAGAATGGCGTGAACCTGGGAGGCGGAGCTTGCCGTGAGCCGAGATCGCGCCACTGCACTCCAGCCTGGGTGACACAGTGCGAGACTCCGTCTCAAAAAAAAAAAAAAAAAAAGAAGGTGGCAGAGCGACCACCATGTCTGGAGGAGAAGCAGGGGAGGCAAAGTGGATGATAAACGTCAGCATTTCCTGGCAGGCCGTGGAGCTAATGAGTACTCTCATTTCACATAACAGCCCCCTATGGAACAAGGAGGGTCTGAGAGTTAAGTGACTCCCCTAAGATTACACCCAGCAGGTGCATAAAATCTACAGTAACAATAACAATTGTTGAGGGCCCTCTACATGCCAGGCCAGTTGCCATGCCTTGCTCCGCATGTGGCACATGGTATCGGTTCACCTGCCAACAGCTCTACGTTTACTAACTCTGTGTTGCTGATTAAGTGGAGGCTCAGAGAGTTTAATGACTTGCCCAGTGTCACACAGTCAAGAAGTGGCAGGGTTGGAACTGGAAAGCCAGACTTCTGAGTCCCAATGTCTGTCTTTCCACTATGCTAAAACAAGAATTGGGTAGCCTTAAAACTGCAAGGCATGGCTGAACCACGTAGTGACTAAGACTTGGATGTTGAACCTAGACACACCTTGGTTCACATCCCAGCTCAGCCACTTACCATCTAAAAGAATCTGGGCAAGTTAGTTAATGTTTCAGAGCCTCCTTATATTCATTCTAAAGGTAAGGAAACTAATACCTGTTTTAGAGAACTGCCATAAAATATAAATGAGATTGGACAGCTGTGGTGGCTCACGCCTGTAATTCCAACAATTTGGGAGGCCCAGGTGGGAGGATCACTCAAGGCCAGGAGTTCAAGACCAGCCTGGGCAACATAGTGAGACCTCATGTCTACAAAAAATAAACAAAATTAGCTGGGCGTGGTGGTGTACGCCCACAGTCCTAGCTACTCAGGAGGCTGAGGTGGGAGGAATGTTTGAGCCCAGAAGATCGAGGCTGCAGTGTTGAGATTGTGCCACCACACTCCAGCCCGGGTAACAGAGCAAGAACTTGTCTCAAAAAGTAAGTAAATAAATAAATAAAATTTTTTAAAAAATTAAAATGTTAGCTGGGCATGGTGGTGGGCACCTATAGTCCTAGCTACTTGGGAGGCTGAGGCAGGAGGATCTCTTGAGCCCAGGAGTTTACTGCTGCAGTGAGCTATGATTGTGCCATTGCACTTCAGCCTAGGTGACAGAGCAAGACCCTGTCTTTAAAAAAAACAAAGAATAAATAAATAAATGAGATGAAATTTACAATCAAGCCGCTTAGTGAGAGTGCACTTATATGCACTCAGTGAACAACAGGTGATACTTCTGGCTCTAACCCTCTACCCCTGCCATAAATATTTGCTCTTTTATTTATTCCTGTTCTTCCTCATTTCTCTATCCTTTACTAAAAACTACCCCTTCCTACTCCTCAGCTCCTTTATTTCTCATATAACAGTAATCATGCCGATGTATTGAGTGCTTACTATGCGGCTGATACTGTGCTAAGCACTTCATATGCACTGCAGCACATCAGCACATCGCCCTCACGGCAACCCTAAGAGATGGGCACTATTATTAGGCCAACTTTATAAAAGCGGACAGCACTCAGACACAGTGGTTCACACCTGTAATCCCAGCACTTTGGAAGAGGAAGGTGGAAGGACTACTTGAGCCCAGGAGTTAGAGCCTGGGCAACAAAGGGAGATCCCATCTCTACAAAAATTAGCTGGGCATGGTAGTGCATGCCTATAGTCCCAGCTACTCTGAGAGGCTGAGGTGGGAGGATCACTTGGGCTTGGAAAGTCCAGGCTGCAGGGAGCCATGATCATGCCACTGCACTCTAGCCTGGATGACACAGCGAGACCCTGTCTCAATCAATCAATGTGGATACTAAGGATTAAATTCAGTGACTTATCCAAGGTCACACATAGCAGAGCTGTCATCCTTGAAGTCCAGGCTCCTAGCCACTCCACTATCTTGTCTCCACATCACCAGACCAAAATACCCAGAAGTATCTTGTGAAAAACATTATTCTCCAAGTCCTGGGCCCACTGAAACAGCAGCACTAGGGTTTCAGTTCAAATGTCACCCACCTTAGCAGCCTCTCATTAGCACCCTACCTAAAACAATTACTGCCACACTCTCCTCCGTGCCTCTAGCCCCCAACCTTATTCTTAGGCTTCTCTTTGGCTCTTATCATCACTTCAAATATCTTTCTCTTGTTGATTGTCAGTCTGCCCCATCCAATACAATGTAAGTTCCCTAAGATCAGAGGCCACATCACTGGTGAATCCTCCCACTCAGAACAGAACCTGGCACATGGTAGGTGCTCAATCAATATTTGTTGATTCACTAAATGAATGAAAGATGGTAAGAGACAGTATTAAGAACTGGACTGGTTAGGAGCACAAGTTTTAGAGCCAAATTGTCCAGGTTCAGCTTTTATATCAATCAAAAACACATAAACCCCTCTAAAGTTAGGATAAAAATAACAGAAATGGCCGGGCACAGTGGCTCACACCTGTAATCCCAGCACTTTGGGAGGCCAAGGCGGGCAGATCACCTGAGGTCAGGAGTTGGAGACCAGCCTGGCCAACATGGTGAAACCCCGTCTCTACTAACAATACAAAAAATTAGCTGGGTGTGGTGGTGGGCACCTGTAATCCCAGCAACTCAGGCGGCTGAGGCAGGAGACTTGCTCAAACCTGGGAGGTGGAGGTTGCAGTGACCTGAGATCTTGCCACTGTACTCCAGCCTGGGCAACAGAGTGAAACTCTGTCTCAAAAAAAATAAAAATAACAGAAATCACTTTGGGAGGCCAAGGCGGGCGGATCACAAGGTCAGGAGATCGAGACCACGGTGAAACCCCGTCTCTACTAAAAATACAAAAAACTAGCCGGGCGAGGTGGCGGGTGCCTGTAGTCCCAGCTACTCGGGAGGCTGAGGCAGGAGAATGGCGTGAACCCGGGAGGCGGAGCTTGCAGTGAGCCGAGATCGCGCCACTGCACTCCAGCCTGGGCGACAGAGCGAGACTCCGTCTCAAAAAAAAAAAAAAAAAAAAAAAATAACAGAAATATGAGTTCCTCCTTTAAGAATACTGGGCCACCTCTAAACCATTTTGCAAGATAAAAGGTTAAAGGGGAAAAAAAAATTTCAAAGCAAATTATATTTTCCCTTGTTCTTTATATAGTAGTCATTGTTCATTGAGCTATTAAAAACTTTCTTGAAGAATTATTCTATAGTATTTTGTAGTCTTTATAATACTTAGTATTTTACTTTCTGCTATGTATGCTAAGGACTTGTCTTCCTTTAGGCATTTCAAATACTTTGAAACATTGTTCAGATAATTCCAGAAGCCATAAAACAATGTATAGCAAGGAAATTAATTACCCACAATTGTATCGATTGATGTGAAAATTTTAATTGTCAGTTTCTAAGGCTTGCTTCAAAGTACACTGTATGAAAGTTTAATTTACTGGAATTTTTGTTTTATTTTGTTTTGTTTTTTTGAGATGGAGTCTCACTCTGTCCTCCAGGTTGGAGTGCAGTGGCACCATCTCAGCTCATTGCAACCTCTGCCTCCCAGGTTCAAGCGAGTCCTGCCTCAGCCTCCTGAGTAGCTGGAACTACAGGTGTGTGCCACCACACTCAGCTAATTTTTGTAGTTTGAGTAGAAATGGGCTTTCACCATGTTGGCCAGGCTGGTCTCGAACTCTGACCTCAAATGATCCACCCACCTAGACCTCCCAAAGTGCTGGGATTACAGGCATGAGCCACCACACCCAGCCAAGTTACTGGAAATTTTAAGATAAAGAAGCCACTAGATCCTGTTCCTAATGCAACAAAATAACAAGCAATTCTGATAATTTCTTGAGTCTTAAACAGAACAGCAAATGCTTTGTATAACTGGCTTTGACCCCTGATCCGGCCATTTCCTGACTGTGTGACCTGGTGCATGTCATTTATCTCCCTGCACCTCAGTTTCCCGGTTTGTAAAATGGGAACGAGGATAAGTGTGCTCGCATGGTTCCTGTGAGGAAGAAATGAGTCAAGTCTGGCACCCACAAAGTTCTCAGCACATGTTTGCTAGAGCCATCATCCCCATCCCCGCCCTGGGCCCAGTGTCCAGGGAAGATGTGCCTCATACCTTCATTAACCGGATTTTGGCCTGCATCTTCCCAGGGTCCAACTTCCGCCTTCTATGTAGTTCTCGTGGATTCTTCGGCTGGTGGCTTGTCACCACTCCAGTGGGCTTGGAGTGGAACACTAGGGGTAGACAGGAAAGGACAGGGAGAGAGTGAGGGTACAGGCAGGCCTGAGGCCAGGTTCCTGGGAGCACACCTTTAATGAGAGGCGGGCCAGGCCCCAGCTCCACCCTCTGGCTGCCTTATAGTGTGACACTAGACTAAGAGTGAAATTCACACCCTTCATTAAGCTCCCAGGACCTAATCTGGGCCTCGATATAAGGGAGCGACAAGCCCATGTGAAAGAAGTAACTATGAGCATGGGCAGAGGGGAGGGCAGGGCAGCCAGGAACCCCGCTCCCAACTGTCCAGTCAGAGAGTCGGGAACTCCCACTCCTTGTGTCTTTCCAGTAGCTGCTGCAGCACAGGACAGCAGAAAGACCAGAGTCTAGCAGCCCTGAATCCAAATCTCTGCTGTCCCACCAACCTGGCTGACAGAAGGCCTGATGGGGTAGGGGTTAAGAACAAGAACTAATGAGCCAGACAGTCTAAGTTTAAATCCAGGCTCTTGGCCAGGCACGGTGGCTCATGCCTGTAATCTCAACACTTTGAGAGGCCAAGGCGGGAGGATCACCTGTGGTCAAGAGTTCAAGACGAGCCCCGCCAACATGGTGAAACCCTGTCTCTACTAAAAATACAACAAATTAGATGGACATAATGGTGGGCGCCTGTAATCCCAGCTACTCGGGAAGCTGAGGCAAGAGAATCGTTTGAACTCAGGAGGTGGAGGTTGCAGTGGTGCGAGATCGCACTCCAGCCTGGGCAACAGACAGAGACTCCATCTTAAATATATATATACATATAATCATAAAAATAAAATTTTAAAAAATCCAGGCTCTGCCTTCTATTAGCTGTGTGACCTTGAGCAAGTCAAATGACCTCTGTGTCCCTCCATTCATCCACCTATAAAATGGGAATAATCATCACGCCTACCTCGTAGGGTCTTCGTGAAGATGAAAGAAGAAGTTACTATACCTTAAAGGTATTTGGAATAGTGCCTGATGCATATTCAGTGCTGGATACACATTACCAGTTGTTATTCTTACTTCTGCTCACCTGAGAAGTGGGACCTCAACACCAGACAAAGGCACAGCGGCTATGCAAAACTCCAACTGGCTGTCTCTGAAACACTCTAAGAGCTGTGGTTCTGCCAGACAGGGAGTATAGGCATCTGGGGGGCATATTCTTAGAATCCCTGTTTCCTCTCCGCCTGTCATGCAATGACATGAGACAAATCACCCAGGTGGATCCAGCTCTACTCTCAGTCGCCACCGAAATCCCTGCTTCAGGTACAACCCAGCTCATCTGGGAAAGATATTAATCTCTTTAATAGATCAATGTCCTTCATCTTGAGAAATGGTGGCATTAACTATGGAGACGATTAAGTAAATTAATTTTGTGTTTAATTTATAAATTACCTGTACATATCCAGTTTTTAGTTGTAAAGAGATAGAATGATTAATAGGTTAATCTTGTGATTCTAATTTTAAAAGTGTAAGTGGGATTTTTATTTAGATTTAAGTTGAAAGGTTTAAGACACTCTTATTAAATATGTATAAATTGCTTTTATTATTTAAGAGAACATAAGATTACCTATATTAATTTTTTTTTTTTTTTTGAGAAGGAGTCTGGCTCTGTTGCCCAGGCTGGAGTTCAATGGCGAGATCTTAGCTCACTGCAACTTCTGCCTCCCAGGTTCAAGCAATTCTCCTGCTTCAGTCTCCCAAATAGCTGGGATAACAGGCGCCCACCACCACACCCGGCTAATTTTTTTTATTTTCAGTAGAGACAGGGTTTCACCATGTTGGCCAGGCTGGTCTTGAACTCCTGACCTCAGGTGATTCAGCTGCCTCAGACTCCCAAAGTGCTGGGATTACAGGTGTGAGCCACCTCGACTGGTCAGATTACCCAAATTTAGAAGTTTAAGTATTAGATATACAAGAATTACGTAAATACCCAATGGGTTTTTGTTAATCAGACAAGTGAACTATTTGAAAATGAAAATGAATACGTTAAATTTTAAGATGTGGCTTAAAAGGTTTAGGAGAATTTAATTAACCAAGTTCCAAAACCCCCTTACAAGTATTTATAAAAATTGTAAGATTCTTAAGTGGAATTTAAACGCTTAAGGAAGATTTGCAGTTTTAATAATATTTATTTTCATTATTGGTAGTAGCCCTGATTTATCTTTTTTTAAAATTCAACCTTTTATTTCAAGATAGCTCAGATTCACAAGCAGTTTTAAGAAATAATACAGAGGGGGCCGGGCGCAGTGGCTCACGCCTGTAATCCCAACACTTTGGGAGGCCGAGGCAGGCGGATCACAAGGTCAGGAGATCGAGACCAGCCTGGCAAATAAGGTGAAACCCTGTCTCTACTAAAAATACAAAACAATTAGCTGGGCATGGTGGGGGGGGGTGCCTGTAGTCCCAACTACTCAGGAGGCTGAGGCAGGAGAATGGCGTGAACCCAGGAGGTGGAGCTTACAGTGAGCCAAGATCATGCCACTGCACTCCAGCCTGGGGGACAGAGCGAGACTCCGCCTCCAAAAAAAAAAGAAAGAAAGAATACAGAGGGGCTGGCTGTGTGGCTCACATCTGTAATCCCAGCACTTCGGGAGGCTGAGACAGGTGGATCACCTCAGGTTACGAGTTCAAGACCAGCCTGACCAACATGGGGAAACCCCATCTCTACTAAAAATACAAAAAATAGCCAGGTGTGGCTGTGCACGCCTGTAATCCCAGCTACTTGGGAGGCTGAGGCAGGGGAATCGCTTGAACCTGGGAGTTGGAGGTTGCAGTGAGCTGAGATCACACCACTGCACTCCAGGCTGGGTGTGAGAGAGAGAGAGACTCTGTCTGAAAAAAAGGAAAGGGGAGGGGAGGGGAGGGGAGGGGAAGAAAAAGGAAAAGGAAAAGGAAAGGAAAAAGGAAAGGAAAGGAAACAGAGGGAGTCTATGTACCCTTTACCCAGTTTTTCCCAATGTCAACATCCTGCAAAAGTACAGTACAATATCACAACCAGGATATTGACATTAAGATGGGCAAGATATAGAACTTTTCCATAACCACAAGGATCCTGCCTGTTGCCTTTTACAACCACACCTACTTCCCTCCCCTTACCACCCTCCTCACAACTCTGCCCTAACCCCTGCAATCACTAATCTGTTCTCCATTTCTATAATTTTGTGATTCCCAGAAGGTTATATAAATGGAATCATCCAGTATGTAACTGTTGGGATTGACTTTTTTTTTTACTTGGCATAATTCTCTGGAGATTCATCCAAGTTGCTGAATATATCAGTAGTTCTTTCCTGTTTATTGCTATATAGTTTTCCATGGTATGGATGCACCATAGCTTGTTTAAACATTCACCCATTGAGGGACTTCAAGGTTGTTTCCAGTTTTGAGGTATTATGAACAGGGCTGCTATGAACATTCACATACTGGCTTTTGTGTGAATGTAAGTTTTCATTTCTCTGGAATAAATGCCCAAGAGTAAAACTGCTGGGTCAGATTACTAGGAAGTGCATGTTTAATGTTGTTAGAGACTGCCACCCTCGTTTCCAGAGAGGCTGCATCATTTTACCTTCCCACCAGCAATTGCGCACAATCTGATTTCTCCTCTTTGCTAGCATTTGGTGCTATCACTATTTTTTCATTTTAGCCATTTCGACAGGTATGCAGTGATATCTCACTGTGGCTTCATCTGCATTACCCCAATGGCTAACGACGTTGAACATCTTTTTAATGTGCTTATTTGACATCTGTGTATCTGCTTTGGTGAAATGTCTCTTCATGTCTTTTTCCCTTTGCCTAACTGAATTGTCTGTTTCATTGTTGGGTTTTTAGTTACTGAGATATTCTACATAGTGGTCCTTTGTCAGATACATGGTTTGCAAATATTTTCTCCAAATCTACAGCTTGTCTTTTCATCCTCTTAAAAAGGTCTTTCATAAGCCAGGTGCGGTGGCTCTCGCCTATAATCTCAGCACTTTGGGAGGCTGAGGCAGGCAGATTACTTGAGGTCATGAGTTCGAGACCAGCCTGTCTCTACTAAAAATACAAAAATTAGCCGGGCATGGTGGAACACGCCTGCAGTCCAGCTACTCGGGAGGCTGAGGCAGAAGAATCACTTGAACCCGGGAGGCAGAGTTTGCAGTGAGCTGCACTCCAGCCTGGGCAACAAAGCGAGACTCTTTCTCAAAAAAAAAAAAAAAAAAGTTCTTTCACAGAACGAAATTTTTAATTTTGATGCAGTCTAATTCATCTATTTTTCTTTTATGGGTCAAGCTTTTGGTGTGATATCTAAGAACTCCACTTGACCCTAGGCCCCAAAGATTTTTCTCTCCTGTTTTCTTCTAAAAGTTTTTCAGTTTCACATTTTACATTTAATTTCTATTTTATTTTATCTTTGAGCTAATTTTTATATTTGTTGTTAAACTTAAATTTTTTGTTTTTGTTTTTGTTTTTTTGCCTATGGATGTCCGATTGCTCCAGCGCCACCCGTAGAAAAGGCTTTCTTCCTCCACTGAATTGTTTTTCCACTTTCTGAAAAACCCATTGGGAATATTTGTACGGATTTATTCCCGTTTTCTCACTGGGAAGTGCTGGCAGTGTCCAGCAGGGAGCTGATCCTTCATTCCCTGCTTGGTGGTGCTGATTCCACAACTGGGATAGTGCCGGCAGGAATGAGTGGAGAGGTCATCTTCTAATCCCTACCTGGCAGAAGAAGGTAGTGCTCTGACTCTCTCTCTAGGGTAGTGTCAACAGAGTCCGACAGTGACAAGATTTCATGAAGTGTCATGAGGTGGGACTGGTCACCTCTGGACTTCACTCCACTCCCCCAGCCTACCTATGTCAGTAGAGCCTGGTGGGAGCCTGAGCCTATATCCCTATCCAGCATCAGTGAGGTAAAATAAGGTGGTGAGATGCAGGGCAACTTGGCATTCTACTGTCCCATCTCCTTTTTGTGTTTCAGTGTTGCCCACAGGGGAGCTGATCTAACATTACTTACTCGGAGGCAATGAGGTGGTATGAGTGATTTTATACATAGGTGTATACATAAGTATGCTATATTGTCTATGAAGTTCATTTCAGGATACCAAAGAAATATTACAAAATATTTGCTATTAATTCTTACAACAATCCTATGTGGTATTAGCGTCCCCATTTCACAAATGAGAAAACCAAGGCTCAGAGAGATGAATGATTTTTCCAAGTGAGTAAATGGCAGAGCCAAAATCTGACCCCATGTCTGCCTGAGCCTGACCCAAGGCCTCAGAATTCCCCTGTAAAGCATGATAATGATGTGGCAGAGATTATTCTATGAGTTCACCAAACCTTGTTTTCTTTTCTTCCTGGAAAAACAGAAGGACTACATTTCCCACCTTCCCTTGTGGTTAGCAGAGGTCATGTGGCTAAATTATGGCCCCTGAAACATGAGTAGGAGTAACATTTGTCACTTCAAATCTGGACCCCCCCGCCAAAAAAAAATGCCCACATAATTGTCCATGTTCTTGTTCTCTCTCTTCCCTCTATGCCAGCTGAATGCAAAAGTATCCAGCACAAGACTTCGAGACCTTACAAAATATCAGACCCACAAGGTCAAAGGAACCTGGATCCCTGAATGACCATGTGGAACAGAATCCCTCCTTCCTCAGATCCACAAATGTACTGTGACATAAATGAGACATAAACTTCTATATCAATACTTGCAATTTGGGCATTGTTTATTATATCAGTTAGCCTACCCTAATATAAGTGGTGTCACCAAGAGCCAAGAGCAGCCACTCTATCCTGTCTCCAACCTCCACACCAGCTCCCAGCTGCCTCCACCTACCTGGTTGGACCCTAGTCAAATTCTTCATTTTGCTTATATGAAGGCTGTTGGCTTGTTGGACTGGAGGCAGAGTAGATGGCTTGGTTTCCTGCTTGGACTGCTGCCATGGAACATAATCCTACAAAATATACAATCAGTCACATAGCACCATGAGTTCATATCCCAGCTCCACTCTTTTCAGATATCTGTAACCTCAAGCAAGTGACTTGACCTCCCTGAGCCTCGATTTTCTCATCTGTAAAGTGGATCTAATAATAAAACCTACTTCTGCCTGTTGGCACAAGAATTCCGAGAGATATTTATGAAGCATGTGGTAAGTGCTCCATAAATGTTAGCTATCACTTTTTTTTTATCAGCCAGCCAGAATTTACTAAGCACATCCAGGCTGTGAGGTGCTAAGAACTGTGAGAAACAGAAGGCATGGAAAAGACGCAACATCCACCCTCAGGAAACCAGAGTAGCAATCAGATGAATAAGAGAGCAGCATAATACACCCTTACATTCTGATAAGACAGTGAGAGGAGAAAAATGAGGTTCTGAGGCTTGCTCTGGCTCCCACAGCAAAGTGTGTGACCCGGCTGGGACTGGAATTCGGGTCTCCAGTCTATATCCGTGGAGCAGTCACAACCGTGAGAGTGGAGGGCAGGTGGACTGCAGGGCCAGCGAGCCTCCCACCCCAGCCCTAGTCCCCCAAGACTCACCGAAACCTGGAACTCGTAGACTGTGGAGTGAGTCCCAGAGTGGTTGGATCTGGAAAGAGTTGGGAAGGGAAAGAACTTCCATTATCCCCAGCCCAAGGGGCAGCAAGCAGCAACTCAAAACAGGATTGGAGTCTTGAACCAGAAACTGCAGTTCACCGGGTACAATAGCGCCGCGGGAGTGGGGTGGGGCCAAGGAGATGTGGGCGGGGAGAGGGCGGGGTCAGAAGACTGAGGGCCGACCTCTAGGCGAGGGCGGCACAGCGGAGGGGTGTGAAGTACTCATGCGCATTCCGCCTTTCTTCCAATTTTTTTTTTTTTTTTTTTTACCTACTTTTGTAAGACATGCGCCATTGGGGAAAATGGAAGAGAAGCTGCGAGTCTGTGAGACACTGATCTTCTAGAATAACTACTCGGCTTTTCCAACTTCCTTGTCTCAGTGTAGATCGCGCAGTAACCCAGGCCACTCAAAGGTCCGGAGACCTGATGCTTTCGCCAGCGTCTCGGTCTCCAAGGAAACGCGACGCCGGCTACCGAGCGCCTAGAGGGACTAACCTCTCAAGGCAAAATCTAGTTCGGCCCTCTTTTCAATTTTCAAATTCCCTTCAGTTTGCTCTGCCCATAATCCTAAAATATTATATCATATTTCTCCACTCTCATCAAACTTCCACCACTTCCCTCGCTATCTTCACTTTTGACTAATGAGTTTGCTTCCAATTTTACTAAGGAAATTTTGGGAATCAGTAAACCCACTAGTTCACAGCACCATTTACTCGCCTACTTGCCTCCTTCCTGTAACTACGTATAAACTGCCTACTAAGACCAATTCCTACATTTGTGCACCGAATCCTATCCTCTCACATTTTCTCAAAGATATTGGCCGAGCAGTTCTCCTCGTTTTTTCCTCCTCTTTTCCCTCTCCTTTGTATCATCAGTATACCAACGTATTTTTAAATTTCTTCTATTTAAAAAGCTTCACCACAGCGGGACACGGTGGGTCACGCATATAAGCATGAGAGCACTTTGGGAGGCCAGAGGTGGGAAGATCGCTTGAGCCAGAAAGGTCCAGGCTGCCTTGCCGTGAGCCATGATCCAGCCACTGCATTCCAGCCTGGTTGACAGAGCAAGACCCTGTCTCTAAATAAACAAACAAACCACTTCCCCTCCAGCCAGCTCCCATGTCTGCTTCATTTTAAAGCAAAACTCCTAGGTTTGCCTATTCTGTTTCCCATTGTTTTCCCTCCACTCAATCAGGCTTTCACTCTCCACTGAAACTGCCCTCATCAACATCATTGGTGACCTCCACTTTGCTAAACCCTATGGTCACTTCTAGGTCCTCCCCTTATTTGGCCTGTCTGCAGCATTTGACACAACAGATCACTCCCTCCCCTGAAACACTTTCTTAGTATCCAGGAAACCACTCTTCAGTTGCTTCCTGCCTCCTTTTCAGTCTCCTTTGCTGATTCCTCCTCTTCTCCCTTTATTATTATAGTATCCCAGGACTCAGTCCCAGGCCTCTCTCTTCCAGTCTCATGGTTTTGAATAATATCTGTACCCAGATGCCTCTCAGACTCGTCTCCAGCCTCCCCCTGAATTCCAGTCATATAATAATGTGCAGTATTTTTCCAGAAACATTTTTCCCAAACTCAAAATAGGGCAACTCTCTTCTTGGAATCATCCTTAACTCATCTCTCATCCCACATCCATCAGCAGATCCTGTTGCAATAACTTCAACATATATCTGGAATAGGACCACACACACACATAACACACACACACACACACACACACACACACTCCTCTTTCCTTTTGTACCCCAACTAAAGTACTAGCTGCCACCCTTGCCCTACACACCAGATTTGCTAGATAGAGCAGGGATTTAAAAGTGAATTCCAGTTTAAAAGATAATTGGGAGGGAGCAATAATTTTAAATCACTTAAACTTCAATAGGGGAACATTACTATAGAATACCATGTCAGAGCTCCCAACCTTTTCTGACTCTTAAAAATCACAGGAGAATGTGTTTAAGTGCACTGTGGTAAATAGAAGCAGCTTCTAGGATAAAAAGCAATTAACCCGGGTACTCTGGCTATTCAGGCCCCTCCTGGCTGACCCTGGAGCTGAGGGAATCACTATATTGGGTACCCTCATTTGAAGAGCACACCATATGAGAGCATTCTTGCTGGGAAACTCTGTACCAGGAAACCATTAAAAAGTAAAAGATAAAGGCTGGGCGCGGTGGCTCACACCCGTAATCCCAGCACTTTGGGAGGCCGAGACGGATGGATCACCTGAGGTCAGAAGTTCGAGACCAGCCTGGCCAACATGATGAAACCCCCATCTCTACTAAAAATACAAAATAGGATTAGCCAGGAGTGGTGGCGGGCGCCTATAATCCCAGCTACTTGGGAGGCTGAGGCAGGAGAATCACTTGAAGCAGGGAGGCTGATGTTGCAGTGAGCCAAGATCGTGCCACAGCACTCCAGCCTGGGCAACAATAACGAAACTCCATCTCAAAAAAAAAAAAAAAAAAAGTAAAAGATAGGAATACATGACAGATCCAGGTAGTGACTTACTCAACAGCCATTCCTCCCTGTCATCACAGCTATTGGATCCTGATCTTGTCCATGTATGCACTTGCCTTAAGGGAGGCAGGCACCAGGCCCAACCCTAGTCCTAGTCCCAGCTTCCATAGTCATGACTGTTGAGGCTGGGCTTGGTGGACCAATTTCCCTTTCCAGTTAGAGACCGAGTCATAGACACATGATGAAAGTCTGGCCAAGGAGACAGAATGAGAAATCTACTCAGAGGCTTTTGGGAAAGGTTTTCATCACACTTTTAAAAAAAGGCATTGCAGAAAAACATTCCTTCGTCTGCTGGTAGACATTGTCATATCTGTGTGGGATTCCTGGAATTGTGGAACTGTGAGGGGACTTGGCCAGAGAGGATACACTGTGAATGGTAGAGAGGAAAATGTAAAAACCTTCTGCCTTGATAGCACTGTCGAGCCATTAAATTAACCAACCCTAGCTTGGCACAATAGTATCTGCCTATAATCCCAGCTACTTGGGAAGCTGAAGCAGGAGGATCGCTTGAGGCCAGGCGTTTGAGATCAGTCTGGACAACATAATGAGACCACATCTCAGAAAAAAAAAAAAAAAAAAAAAAATTTTTTTGTTTTAATTAGCCAGATGTGATGATGTGCACCTGTAGTCTCAGCTACTTGGGAGGCTGTGGTGGGAGGATTGCTTGAGCCCATGAATTTGAGACTGCAGTGACCCATGATTGTGCCACTGCATGCCAGTCTGGGCAACAGAGTAAGATTCTGTCTCTATAAAAAATTAATTAATTAAATTAACCTGTCACCTATCTAGAAATTACTTGAGATTAAATAAGAAATCACATTACTGGGTGAGCAAATTTGAGTTGAGTTTTCTGGTACTTGCAGACCAAAAGCATTTTACTGAAATCTGCATCTAGAGGAACAACAAGATAGAAGGAACCTGGGTCCCTGACAACCTTGCAGGAGACAGTCACCTACCTGTCCTTACTGCCTGCCAAATTCCGAGCTGCTTCATCAAAGAGAAATAAACCTCCACCTTGTCTGAGACCCTGTATTTGAGAGTCCCTTTGTCACAGTATCTTAACCTGTACCTTGATTAATACAAATAAGAGCTTGTCCACTGTCACACAGCCTTCCTCATCAGACGTGCTGACCCCAGCATGGACACCCACTGAGAGCTGCCTTTGCCCCACATCTCAGGTGCTTAACCAGTAATATTACTGCCTCCCACTTCAATTTTTTTTTTTTTCTTTTTTTGAGACAGAGTTTTGCTCTTGTTGCCCAGACTGGAGTGCAATGGCGTGATCTTGGCTCATCACAACCTCTGCCTCCCAGGCTCAAGCAATTCTCCTGCCTCAGCCTCCCGAGTAGCTGGGACTACAGGCATGCGCCACCACGCCTGGCTAATTTTGTATTTTTAGTTGAGACAGGGTTTCTCTATGTTGGTCAGGCTGGTCTCGAACTCCCGACTTCAGGTGACCCGCCTGCCTCGGCCTCCCAAAGTGCTAGGATTACAGGCGTGAGCCACCGCGCCTGGCCCCACTTCAAATTTTAAAATAAATACTCAAATACATTTGCAAAAATGCTGCCACTTTAATCAAAGCCAAAACACACTTGAGGGGCCACCGACAATCACTTGTAACAAAACTGTTGGAACTGGGACTGAATAAGATGGGGTCCATTTGCACTTACACCTATTCAGGTGGCATTTCTGTGTTCATGAACACCTGATGGAACTTCCTGCCCTCAGGATAGGTGGGCAAGACAAACCGGCCTTTCCTTCCTGCACGTGTGAGGTGATAAATGTGATAGAGGGCCTCTCAGGCCTGCTTGGCTCCAGGCTCAGCAACAGCAACCTGGGCTCTCATTCCATCAGCATCTTGCTGAGAGGTGGACTGGGCTGAGCAGGCAATCTCAGGTTTCCATCCATGTCATTCGATGTGCTGACTTTGTGGCAAATGTGCACACCATCCTAAACCCACAATCCCTACTGTCGTCACTGGGTAAGATGTCATGGTTCTTGTGGAGACACCTGCTACACTCGACATAACAAGATCCTAGACATTCCTTCTTACCATCTGCGCAGCACTCCAGAGCTGCCTGCTCTTCCATCCTAAGACCCCCCCCCAACTGAATTCACTGCTAGGCCCCAGCACACTGTTGTCTTCCCGCTGTGCATGGATGCTGCTCTTCAGTTGTCCTTGTGCCCTCTTGCAATCCTATTCAGTCCTGATTGTGAGCACAATTTCATCCCGTAACTTGGAGGTGGCCAGGCCAACCTTGACTTTGCTGTTAAACATGGCTTCGTGGGGGCTGTGGCAGATAACCTTGTGGTAAGTCGAGTTTTTCATCATCTGAATGAACTACAGATCCTGAAGCCAATGATGTGTGTCATTGGTCTGTATCCAGGTAGTCAGCATGTAGTGTGTGTACTGGGTTGAATAGTATTTCCAAAAAATGCATGCCATTCCCAGAACCTTATTTGGAAATAGGTTGTTGTTGCAGATGTAATTAGTTAAAATGAGGTCGTACTGGAGTGGGCCCTTAAAAGACTGGTGCCATTATGAGAAGAAGAGAAGACACACAGAGGCAGACACAGTGAGAATGCCTTGTGACGACACGGGCAGAGATTAGAGTGATGCATCTATAAGTCAAAGAATGCTGGCAACACCAGAAGCTAAGGGAAAGGCATGGAACAGATTTTCCCCTAGGGCCTTCAGAGAGAACATGGCCCTGCTGACACCTAGATTTCAGACTTTCAGCCTCTAGAACTGTGAGATAATAAATTCCTGTTGCTTTAAACCACTCAGTTTATAGCAGGGGTCCCCAACCTTTTTGGCACCAGGGACTGGTTTCACAGAAGATGATTTTTCCACAGACGGGGCTCGGGGGTGGTTTCGGGATGAAACTGTTCCACCTCAGATCATCAAGTATTAAATTCTCATTAGGAGCA